AAATGGGAGATGTTCATTAAGTTGTTATGAGCTGAGTTTAGTCAGTATATTACTGTTTGCCCAGCTTTTAAGGAATTTTTGTGACCTAATTGATGCAAACTCCAATATGTTCATCCTTGTTCTAACAAAACAATAACCTGAGAAACAGTCATGCACTTTGAATTGGGAATCATTTAGTTGCTGCCTTATCAGCATGCAGTACGTTTATCACCAGTTCATGAGTTCAGCATATGTATAACACATATAAAGGCAGAGCTTGTTTCCATGAGCCTACAAGAGTATGCAAGAGTGTAACAGATTTGACATGATGCACTGGGAGATTATAAAAAGAATGATTTGTGTCTGGGGATACCACCCCTCCTTCATCAAGTGATCTATTTCTTGCCTTGAATAACTCAACAATTTTTAGCTGGAAAAAATATTTTTTTCTACTCTCCACAGGCAACCAGCACAATGCCACAGTTACCTTTTTTCATGTCCTGAGGATGAATGCCATATAAGTATCTCAGAAAGAAAGATGGGTAAATCATGAGCATATGAGATATGTGGTTTACACCCTGACCTGTCCCTGACTCATTGTGTGACTGTGGGCAGTCAATCACTATTTCCCTATGTGTAAAATGAGGATATTACCCACTTTTGTAAAGCACTTTGAGGTCCTTTGATAAAAAATGCTAATCAGTTGCAAAGTTGGAGGTTTTCATGCTTATACAACAAATATGTTACACTGTTCTGCCTGCTTCACTTAGAGGCTACTGTGGTGTTTCTTCTTTCCACAGAACAGGAATTTCACAATTAAACTGTTGGCTTTTACAGCTCTGTTGTAACATTTTCACAAGTTGTCTGCAGCCTATTCCTCTGTCTGAGGGATGACTTTCCCATAAGTAGAAGACTCTTATTAGGTAGTAAGGCCATGCATTTTTTCCCCTTCTCATGATTTCAGGATACTTTTATTATTTAATAATATATTAACCTTGTCAGATTTTCAGGTGACCTATTGTTATTAGTCATGACAGGCAAGTGGTTTCATTACTAAACTGCTGCTGTATTTGGACTGGGTTGATAACAGTGTGACAAACAAAGAGGTTTCTGTGTAATCTCTTCTTGGAAACTGAGTAGGTTATATCTGCTGACTGCATGTGTGTGTGCTTGTATGTGCTTGCACATGTGTCTATGTGGGACTTGCCTTAATTCCAAAATGGTGTACAGTGTTTGGACAGATCAGTAATATTTATGTGTACTGTAATTTCTTGTGATGTTTCTGTGAAAATGGTATTTTTAGCCTGATTTTTTTTTTTTTTTTACCAACTGCCTCCCACCCCCACCATATCTGTGACATTATGCCTATCCTCAGTGCAGGGCCTAATCCTGCTTTCTTTGTTTGGAGGGGCTAATACAACTAAGAGGAGACAGGATTTGGTCCAAAACGGTAACCTACGGTTTGTGATTCCTGTCTCTCCATCTCTGGCTGCGCCAGGCAACTAAGATATTGAGGGGGGAGATGGGAGGTGGGCAGCCATACGGGCTCAACTTAACAAACCACAAAACCTTGGGGTAGTAGAGGGAATGCTGCATTCTGAAACTGCCATCCCTTGGTTTAATTAAATGTTGTGGCTGCCAAACTTTTTTTGTCTGCATAATAAAGTTGCAGCCCATTCTGGACCTTTGACCCAAGCCCAAGGGGCTGCTTATTTTCACAGATGCTGTGCCACTCTGCTGCAGTGGAGCCTGTGCCCATAGTGACCTCCACTAGTGGGCTGCCCCACTCCATTCTGAACACTTCCACCCCCTTCCAGGACTGGCCTGGAGCCTCTTTGAGGCCCTGCACCTATGCTGGTGACCGCCAGCAGCTGGGGATAGTGAAATAGCCCTGGAAGGTGGGTGTAGTCAGTGCTGGCCCTGGCATTGGGTCTTGGGCAGCCTGGACCCCCTCCCCTTCCCCAGTGCTGCTCCCCAGAATGCGCCCCCACAGGACACCTTCCTGGCTCCTTGGGCCAGGTCAATGGCCCACATACCATATCTCCTGTTCTGGGGCTCCCCCACACCCTAGCATCTCCTAATCAACGTGCAGTATAGAACATTGTTCCATGGCCACCATCCAGGTAACCCTGTCATGGGACCCTTGGGCATGTCATCCCAGGGAGGAGTCCCTGGACTGGGGCTCTCCATGGTGGGTAGCAGCCTGCCACACCACTCTGGCCCAGGACAAGAACAGTCTTCCTATGGGAGGTAGCACTGACACCACGCAGGGGTGTCATAGCTGGATCCCAAGCAGTCTTTGACATTATGTATAAACTCCCTCTTCTGGCACCGTAACTCTTTCAGCTCCATTGTGGCATGGGTGGCCTCTCAGACAGCAGGTTGACATTTGCAGCACGTTCCTGGACCTGGACAACTCATTTAAAACCATAGTTCTTGCCTTCCAGCTGATCAGCAGCTTTGCTTCCTGCAAAGCACCATGAGTTACAGCAGGCAGCTGCATGTCCGTCAGCACCCTGTAATTGCAATTCTAAGAATTACTACTTGGGCAAAAAGTTAAGGAAACGCAACAATTTACATGATGCCTGTCATTCTGTATTTTTGGGATCTAGTGTGTCGGTGATCATATATCCAAGACCACATGATAAAAATGTACTGCTGAGACTATTCTAAAATTTTCACCAGTACAGCATCTCTCTGTAACTATGAGCCTGAATCTTAGTCTAAAAATAAATTGCATAAATTTATAGATGTTAGGGTTGGAAGGGACCTCAGTAAGACATTGAGTCTGATCCCCTGCCCTGGACAGCAAAGAGCGCTGTGGTCAGACAACCCCAGCTAGGTGCTTGTCCAGTTTCCTCTTGAAGACCCCCGGAGTAGGGGAGAGCACCACCTCCATTGGAAGCCCATTCCAGGTTCTGGCAACCCTGACTGTGAAGAAGCTCTTTCTAATGTCCAACCTAAATCTGCTCTTTGTCAGTTTGTGGCCATTGTTCCTAGTTACTCCAGGGCATGCCCTAGTAAATAGAGCATCTCCTATTCTCTCCATGCACACACACACGAAGGGAGAAAAGTGTACATAAAGTGCATTTGCTTTTTGTGGAAGCTTCATTTCAGCCAAGTGGAGATTGAGCTTCTCTAATACAGAAATTGTTTACTTATAATTTACCAAGCAGACATCTGGAGTCAGTGTTGCAACAAATCATTTTAGACGTATTTCTTTTCTGATTAAATTTACAGGTTTTGTACAAGGAGTTATGTTCTTTTCAATCAAATTTTATGTTATAACTTTTCATTGATTCCTTGTGAGAAATTTGGATATCTTCCCACATCTCAAGTATATAAGTCCTTTAATGTTTTTTTTTCAATCCACCATTATTCTGAATGTGATTATTTTAATGGTCATATTTTGTATTTTCCTGGTGCTCCATGCACATCTTACAATTCTGTAATTTAGAGAACTTTTTATAGTACTATAAACTGACAATGCTCTTAAACATGGCAGATGTGCAGTGTTTCGGGTGGAGGGAGCAGGGGCAGTCCTCTGAGTCTCCCTGCACTTTCCATGCTAGGAGGCAGGGGGTGCTTCACAGCCTCCTGGGGCTTCTCCCCTGGTCAGAACTTTGATCAGTGTACAGAAGTTATTTAAAGCACTGTAGGCTGCTAAAGTACTATAAAATACACCGTTTCAAATGTAATATCCCATTTAACAAGGGTGCATTTTTAAAGTACCCATTTTAAACTGCTGTAAAGCAGTACACTTCTGTTAAATCATGGCAATAAATAAAGAGCTTTAAATGGCAAAAAAGCAGCTTCTGTACACACCATTCCATTCTAGGATGTGAAATCCCCAGAGAAACATTTAGCTCATATCTGAGGGTACTTAAGTACTGTTATCCCCTTTTCAGATGGGAAAGAAACTATGGCATAGAGGTTGAGGCCAGTATGTACAAACTTGTGCATATCAAGTTAGGCATCTCAATTCACATTTAGATATCCAAACAAGTCCCCAAAACTTGGAAGTAAGGAAAAAGGCAAGAAGAAAATCCACCTTTTTGTGTAGTTTTTCCCTGGTATAGGACTATATTTCAAGAAAAGCAAGCTTGGCTTACCAAAGCTTAAAACAGTTAACCACAATGCATGTTTCATTGTATATATTGCTTTTTGTATAGGAGTTTCCTTAACATTGTATATTTTTTTTTTTTTTTTTTTTTTACAAGCATGGTTGGTA